TAAATTTTATTAAAGATATTTTTTATTTTTTTTTTAACAGAGCCTTTATATTTTAAAGTATTGGATGTCTTTAACTACCTGCACCGTAGTTAAAAAATTCCAAAGGCTCTTCTTAATTCAGCAAGTGCTATTTCATATTCTACTTGCTTGGCTTGAAATTCATGTTCATCGGTTACAGCTTGTGGTGGTTGGAAAGTCAAGAAAGACGACGATGTATCAATATTATTCTTTTCAATATTCGTATTCGTAGTCGTCGTCGCGATTCTTCTTTTCTTAACATTTTCTTGATTTGCACTAATAATATACGGTGGTCGCTTTCTTTTGGTAGTCGATGTTTTTATTAGCATAGAAGGTGGTGGAACTGTTGTTATTTCTATATCGACTAATTTTGTATTCCTTGGACTTATCTCATTTTCCTCCTGTTGCTCCGATGATGATACCAAGTGATTTAATTTCTTAGATTTTTTAGGTCGCTCAGTAGTAATTAAATCGTCTTCATCTTGAGAAACCTCGATTGGTCGCTTTGTTGGACTTAGCTTATGGGGAATAGTAAAAGGATGGCATGAATGCTTTTTCATAGTATTCGTTGTCGTTTTTGTCATCGTCGTCGTCGTCGTCGTCGCCGCTGCCGCCGCCGTTATTGTTCTTTCCTCATCTTTTTCATCTGATGTAATAGTAGTCTGGCCTGATTCCTCATAAGAAAGTTGCTGCTGTTGTTTTGGAGCACAAAATATGCGATATAACCTATCAAATTGCGTCGTTACCCATTGCTTGATATTTCGTATTAGATGATGATGACCATCATCATCATTATTATTATTATTATTGTTATTATTAGTGTTATTTTGATAAGGAGTTGCATCGAAATGCCGACGAACATGTCGAATGGGGCCTACTTCACCGCCGCCGAAGTTACTACTTGTTCCCGGAGTATTCGATCTTTCACTATCATTTGGGAATAGTTTATAACTTTGAGTAATATTATCAAGCATTTCTTGTTGAAAAGAAGCATAATTAAATGGCAGTGAACCAGCATTTTCAAATTGGGATTCTTTGAATAAAGACATTTTTAAAACGAAGCGAAATTTAATCGTTTGTCAGAAAAAAAATTAGATACGACTTATATATATATCAATTAATTTTATATATACACGTAATACTGAAATGTATGCGTGTGTAAGATTAGGGGTAAGAATAATCATTTCATTTGTATTCGCGTCAATATAGATCGTGAAAAAAAATTAATTCATTTATCGCAACATATAAAATGTACACGTATTTAATGCAAGTGGCGTTTCCTAAACAGTGAATTTTGATGCATATCACACATTGGTGACTACGGGGGTAGATTATTGAAAAAAAAACACATTCTCGCTGTCTTTCAACCCTTTAATTAGAAGTTTATCGCTTTAAATCGCAGTTTGTGAAATTTTTGTTTAGGTGTGAGGCACAGCCATTCAAAAGGAGAAATTGCTAATCAACAAAAATTATTCCATGAAAACTAGTCATCCTCCTCAACTAATAGTGGTGGGTCAATGTAACGATAGCAAAAACATGCCTATCAGACCATCTGTGATTGAGGTAATATATATGTAGTATGATTTTTATGTTTACACTGAGTATTCATCATGAGATAACATTATATGATTGAGGCCTGTGTTACATAATAATATATGTAAGTATGATTTTTATGGAATCAATTTGATATCTTAGACAATTCATCGTTATAAATTCGTTTTGTGATATTTGAAACACTCATCGCAACCCCAACAATCGATTACATTTACTACAACCATGAATATTGTGAATTAAACACTTATCGCAATATTTATTTTTAACAATAGAATTATGAGAACATTTCTCTGTATTTTTATATAATAACATGTTAATGTCAATTATCATTACTGTAGATGTGAAAAAAATTAATTCATTTATCACAACGATCGGTATTATATGTACATGACTAAGAAAAATATGATCTTCATTTAAAATGTACACATATTTAATGCAAGTGGCGTTTCCTAAACAGTGAATTTTGATGCATATCATACAAAACACATTCTTGCTGTCTTCGATTATATAGTCGATAGTCAACTCTCAACCCTTTAGTTAGAAGTATATCGCTTTAAACCGCAGTTTGTTTATCAACTAATAGTGATGGGTCAATGTAACGATAGCAAAAACATGCCTGTGATTGAGGTAATAATATATGTAGTATGATTTTTATGTTTACACTGAGTATTCATCGTGAGATAGCATATGATTGAGGCCTGTATTACATAATAATATATGTAAGTATGATTTTTATGGAATCAATTCGATATCTTAGACAATTCATCGTTATAAATTCGTTTTGTGATATTTGAAACACTCATCGCAACCCCAACGATCGATTACATTTACTACAATCACTTATCGTAGTATCTATTTTTGACAATAGAATTATGAAAAAATTTAGTTCATGTATGAATTGTCTAAGATATCAACAATCTAATAAAAGAATGCTAATACAAGCCTCATGATGAATACTCAATGTAAACATAAAAATCATACTACATATATTATTACCTCAATCACAGGCATGTTTTTGCTATCGTTACATTGACCCATCACTATTAGTTGATAAACAAACTGCGGTTTAAAGCGATATACTTCTAACTAAAGGGTTGAGAGTTGACTATCGACTATATAATCGAAGACAGCAAGAATGTGTTTTGTATGATATGCATCAAAATTCACTGTTTAGGAAACGCCACTTGCATTAAATATGTGTACATTTTAAATGAAGATCATATTTTTCTTAGTCATGTACATATAATACCGATCGTTGTGATAAATGAATTAATTTTTTTCAAATCTACAGTAACGATAATTGACATTAACATGTTATTATATAAAAATACAGAGAAATGTTCTCTAAATTTTTCATAATTCTATTGTCAAAAATAAATATTGCGATAAGTGTTTGATTCACAATATTCATGATTGTAGTAAATGTAATCGATTGTTGGGGTTGCGATGAGTGTTTCAAATATCACAAAACAAATTTTTATGTAATACAGGCCTCAATCATATAATACTATCTCACGATGAATACTCAGTGTAAACATAAAATCATACTACATATATTGTTACCTCAATTACAGATGGTCTGATAGGCATGTTTTTGCTATCGTTACATTGATCCACCACTATTAGTTGAGGAGGATGACACCTATGTAAAAAGCTGTAAAGAAAATTTTCAATAAACAAAAATTTCACAAACAGCGATAAACTTAAAGGGTGCGAGAATGTGTTTAGCATAGTTTTTTTTCAATAATCTACCCCATGTGTGATATGCATCAAAATTCACTGTTTACGAGGAAACGCCACTTGCATTAAATACGTGTACATTTTAAATGAAGTTCATATATGTTGCGATAATATTGACGCGAATACAAATGATTGCACACGCATATATACGTGTATATATAAAATTGATATATCGTATCTAATTTTTTTTCTGACAAACGATTAAATTTCGCTTCGTTTTAAAATGTCTTTATTCAAAGAATCCCAATTTGAAAATGCTGGTTCACTGCCATTTGATTATGCTTCTTTTCAACAAGAAATGCTTGATAATATTAGTCAAAGTTATAAACTATTCCCAAATGATAGTGAAAGATCGAGTACTCCGGGAACAAGTAGTAACTTCGGCGGCGGTGAAGTAGGCCCCATTCGACATGTTCGTCAGCATATCGATACAACCCCTTATCAAAATAACACTGATAATAACAATAATAATAATAATGATTATGGTCATTATCATCTAATACGAAATATTAAGCAATGGGTAACGACTCAATTTGATAGGTTATATCGCATACTTAGTGCTCCAAAACAACAGCAGCAACTTTCTTATGAGGAATCAGGCCAGACTGAATCAGTTTCGACTCGAGCAGCTGCTGTGATATCTAAAATAGGAAAACTCAAAAAGCATTCATGCCATCCTTTTACTATTCCTCATGAGCTAAGTCCAACAAAGCGACCAATCGAGGTTTCCCGAGATGAAGACAATTTAATTACTACCGAGAGATCTAAAAAATTTAAGAAATTAAATCACTTGGTATCATCATCATCGGAGAAACAGAAGGAAAATGAGATAAGTCCAAGGAATACAAAATCAGTCGATATAGAAATAACAACAGCTCCACTACCTTCTATGCTAATAAAAACATCGACTACCAAAAGAAAGCGACCACCGTATATTATTAATGCAAATCAAGTAAATGATAAGAAAAGAAGAATCGCGACAACGACTACGACTATTGAAAAGTATAATATTGATATATCGTCGTCTTTCTTGACTTTCCAACTACCACAAGCAGTAACCGACGAACTTGGATTCAATGCTTTCCAACCCCAGCAAGTAGAAACGAAATAGAACTTGCTGAATTAAGAAGAGCCTTTGGGATTTTTGACTAGATTGGTAGATTTAATAAACAAATTCGAGATATATTTTATATTCTAATTTTTATGCTAAAATATAAAGAATTCAATAACGCATCTTTGAGTCGAGTCAACTCAAAGATGCGTTATTGAATTCTTTATATTTTAGCATAAAAATTAGAATATGAAATGTATTTAAATCCAACAATCTATAGTTAAATCTATAAGGAATTATTCAAGTTTAAAATTTTCTAGTTCAAACTATATAATTTAAAGTAAACATATACATGTAATATAAAATTATTACTTGCATCTTAAATAAATGAATATTCTTGTAAAAAAATTACTATCGCTATTTTATTTGCTTCAAAACATATTAGATATTTAGACTAAATTTCCAAACCAATGAAAATGTTTTTATTGTTTTGTGAAAAATAATAAAATTTCACAATTTATAAATACATGTAATTGTTGGTTAATTATTTCTATAACGATAAATTCTAATTGATTAATTTTAAGTAGCGACAAAAAAGTATTTAACAAGTTTCTTCGATCTACGAAAAAAAGTAAATTTACTCAAAAAACGACCGTTCTTCAGCAGCTTTAACAACCCTAAAGAAAATAATAAAATTCATTAGTCAATTAAAGTTCTCTCAAATAGTATCAAAAAAAATCTAAAGCAAAACAAAAAATTACCGTAAAAACACATCCTCTAATGAGCTCTGTGTAATCGAATAATCCTGAATTCCCCAATTGACCTTATTTTGTTCAATCTCTTTGAAAAGCGTTGCGAGAGTCCCTTGCTGTGCACCAAATTGGTATGTGGCCATCGTGTCAAATTTCTCGATTTGATTATGTGGGTAGGGAAGAAGGGCGATTATTTGGTCGCATGCGTGGTCGAGACTAGCGGTTGCGACCACATTGAAGGAAATTTGATAGCCTGTTCCATGTTTTTGTTTTAGGTGTAACGGAGACTGTATGTTTTATAGAATATATGAAAGCATTTGACGAAAAATCATTAATTCTGTTTGAGAGTAAAGAGCTTGGCATATTTATTTGTTAAGTTGCTGACTTACTCCGAGACATCGTAAATGTCCAGCAGCCATAATGCCAAGTCTATCGCATAACGCATCTGCTTCTTCCATCTACACAAAAGATGAATTCAATTCATAAATACTCCAGACAACTAAAATGAAAACAAATTAAATGTACAATGAAAAATGAACTCACCGAATGCGTTGTCAAAATTATCGTTTTTCCTTGTTTTGCATTTGCGATAATGCTCCAAATGGTACGACGAACATCCGGATCTAGACCAGTCTAATAAATGAATTGGTTATACATATGGTTTTTTAAATTCTCGAAAATATATAGTATAATTAGAAGACATACTGTCGGTTCATCAAGGAATACTACTTTACTATCGCCAGTCAACGCGATAGCAATTGACAGCCGTCGTTTCTCTCCACCGCTTAATCCCTGATTTCAATTGAAAATCAATTAAAAATACCAAAACAATCATCAAAAAAAGGAAATGCTAACGCTAATTCTTACTCGAACAAGTCTATATTTGAATTCGGTCAATTCGACAAGTTTCAATGTGTGATTAATGGCCTCGGTTTCCAAACGTGGGTCGACACCTCGTAATCGTGCGTAAAATAGTAAATGTTCTTCGATTGTCTTGTTTTTAGATGACAATAATTAGTAATTGGTATTGGTTTCATAAAACAATTAATAAATATTAAGAATTATACTAAGTCTGGCCATAATAAGTCAAACTGTGGACAAACGCCTATACAAAAATAGAGAATCAATAACTTATAATCCATCATTTAACTAAAATCCAAGATTAAAAAAATTTACCGATTTTCGTATAAATTTTTTCCACGTCTGATCTAATATCAGTTCCGTCGATATATACCGAACCTAAAGCAAATGAACAGAATCATTTAAAAGAAATCCTAGTTATTTTTGTTAAAATATGCAAAATAAATGAAAACCTGAAGTCAGCGGATAGAGCCCTGTCAAAATATGCATAGTGCTAGTTTTCCCGGCACCATTCGGTCCAAGTAACCCAAAAACTACGTTTTTCTTTTTAATAACAAGAAACGGAGTCAAAATTAAAAAGTAAAGAAATTCAAAGGAAAACTATCATTAAAATATTAACCTCAACGGCAAACGTAAGATTATCAACAGCTAACTTGCCATCCGGATAAACTTTTACCAGCTCTTTCACTACAAGGTTAGTGGATTCGACGGGATAGTTTCCACTTAGCACGCGTAATCTTTCTGCCTTTACGTCATCATCTCCCATCTTTTATTTGATTGCAAATTGACTTTAATCTAAGGAATTTCACGAAAAAAAAAACTTTGAAATATTAATATCAATTACCGTTTCACCTAATGCCTGCGCCAACATAATAGTTTGCGTCGGATCATGTATGTTTGTATCATTATTTTTTTGATTCAGAATATATTTCTTGAATGGCTCAGTGATGAAGAAAAAGTAGCCTTTTTGTATTCCATATTCACTTGGTAACACTAACTGAAAGTATCTAAAGAATGCAAATGAAATTAAATCATCCAAATATAGAGAACGAAAACATCAAATTTAAGAAAAAAAACTCACAAACTCAAAATGATCATCAAGAAAGCTTCACTGATCAAAACCGTCATGATCACGAATAATTCATCGTCTGCCTGAAGTGAAAATAATTCGTATGGCTGAAAAAAATGTTTTTTAATCAGCCAGCCAATTTTGAATGCTAAATCAAAAATTGAATGTACATGTATTTTACCCGTAAATTATTAATCAACGACGCGGTATCTGTGATTCTTCGTATTCCTTCATAGAATGCGAACGAAGGATGTATGTACCAGATACGTGGAGGAGAAGATCCATCAAATATGATATCTAATAAATGACATTTTTTTAGTATCTTTTTTTAAAATAATATATGAATCAGAAAAAAGTTAAGAAAACACTTGCAAGCTAATCCACTTATGATTCCCGAGAGGATAACAAACACATATACACAAACTATGTAAAACAATCTTTAATAAATCTATAAACATCGAAAAGTGAAATCATATAACAATATTGTCAAATCATTCATACTTAAAGCCCGTTTCGTCTTTGAAAAAAACATGCTAATCAAAAATGACATTGCCGTTTGAACCTGACTCCAAATTCCAAATAATAGCAAAAGTATAAGTGGGTCGGTACGCGTGAAGAAAGTGTACTGTAATAATTCGTATTAATTAGTATCTAGATTATTTATAAATTGAACTTTAATAATCAAAAAGTAATCAAATATTACCTTAAATGAGTAGCCACCGATATAAAACACAACACAATTAACGAATATCATCAGATTAAATTCCAGATAATGGCCAATGAAATGTGCGAAATTACTTAGCCCGTTCTTTATGAAACAAAAGAGTATAATATTAAAATGAAATAAGGGCGAAATGAATAGAAATTGATGGGAAATTTATATATATATATATATATATATATATATATACCATTTTCATCATAATAAAAACACGATTTTCTTTTTCGCGTACGAGCGTGGCAACAAAAAGTGGCATCAAAGCAGAAATAGCTAGAATTCATCAAAACCGAATTAATTAACTAATTAATCATAAACAATTGAGAGTACATAGAATGAATGGTCTGTGATTTTACTGTATGTATAAAACGCAGACCCAACTATCGCAGAATTATCTCGATCGTTTTCTGTGACCGAGAATTGTCGAGGCATTGCCTTTTTTTGGAAATTAGCATTTTTGATTTAGTTACGGATTTATTTGCATCGATTAATAAAACAGGATCAAACTTAAAAAATTTACCCGTAACTTATGAACAATCTCTAGTTTTCCTGCTCCTATTCAAAAAAGAATTTAAAGTTAACAAATTCAAATGGAAGTAAATAAATCTGACATATATATAACACTAACCTAAAGCATTCGACAACTGATTGACAGCAATTAACCGACGAAATCCGGCACTGATCAAATGTAAATTGTTAGAATAAATTTGAATACAAATGAAAAGATCAAAGTCGATAACATACCTCGGATACTTAGAAAACAGCTGGATAAATGTATCTATGGTAAGTTCTGTGCTATTCTTATCCGTAATATTTAATACGTATGGTAGTTCGGTTGCAAGGAGTTGAAGCGCTATTGGTATATTACCATACTGTAACGTATACGACATTTGACTCTGTTTTTCGTCGATATTGTCGAAATAAAGTATACCATGAGGCGGTGGTAATGTTGTTTGGTCGAGCGAGAATGAAGTATTAGTTAAAATCATTGTTTTGAAGTTTTCGAAAGTCCTTGATGTAATAGAAATATGAGAAATTTAATTAGATGTGCGAGAATACCTTAGAAAGAAAATAGGATAAAGGAATTACTTATTAATATTGGCGACCAAAGCTCCCTCAGCTAATGCATGTGGTGAACGAATGAAAATACCAGTGTCTACATAATAGGTGGATGCATCCCCAGAGAAAAATGTACTCAAAAAATCCTTTAAACTAGCTAACTGTGGCGAATTGTCTATTGGTAATTGGAAAAATTGATCCGGAATTCCTTTCAAAAAATTACTATCTATTATCGATTGAAAATAGAAATTAATGCCCTTTTTAATACCAATTTATATATCTTCATGGCTTTTATACTTACTTTCCTTCCTTGTATAAAAAATTGTGGTTTGATTCAACAGTGTGATTAGAGTTGTATCAGCCGGATTGTCATATAGAGTGCTGTCTATATCTTGAACTCCTTGATCGGTTACTAAGTATCCCCAGGGAAGGGTTTGTGCTGATATATTGTACAAGATTGTGTCGTTTATAGGAAAAATCGATTGATCATTAAAATACTTCCATCCACCTTTAGGTTTTGGTAAATATGTTCTATAAACAATAGTTATTTATTAAAATATTTTATATAAACGAGTAAAGACAAAAAAAAAGGAATATTTACGTGTCTAGATAAATGTGACTAACACCATTAGCACCGGAATCTCTAAAAAGGGGGGGGGGGGGGAATCAAAAATACTACTTCCAATACATTTAAACATGATTTATTATATAATTATGTACATACATAAAATACGGACTTTCCACGGTATAATTATTCGACTTTCCCATAAAAACGTTGGCACATTCATGAGGTGCTTGAACCTGACTCGTATCCAAGTTCACAAACGGATCTTTAAGAATAGACGGTCGAACAACATCATATATAATGGGATTTTTCTCTTTATCCAATTCGTCTTTAGTTCGAGTTAGACGTGGTATATTGCCCCACGTTGTATCCATAAATTGGGCTGAATTCGAGCAAAAGACGATTTTTTGTCGGTTTGAATTATCATTACCGTTAGATGTTCGCGTGATCACGAGAATTATGGATTGCATGATTATTAACATTATTAGAGGGACGATTACGACACATGTCAAATTTATTTTCCAGTTTCGTAGAGTTTGTGTAAGCGTTAGGCGAGACTATAAATTGAGATTATTAGTTGATTATTTAATTCTTATAGAATTGAATTGTGATCATTGTTATAGATTAAGATGCTCACCAAAGCACGGAACTGTCTTGGAGTTTTTACCGCACTTTCATAATCAAATATCGAACCTGATTTACTATTACTACCAATCTTCTTGTAATTATTAAAATTTTCAATGTAATCGTCGTCGTTATCGTTATTATTATTATCCTCAAAATAATAATCTATAACTTCGTCAGCATTCTCCAAATCAACAGTATACAACAAATTTTTATTATAATTAACATAATAGTCCAACGAGGATGATAGTCGGCGTAGATTCCAGGGACCAATTGCAGTATTCAAATTGTTGCTTTTGCAATCCTTTATGTCGTCGTTTTTTGTTAAATGCCCAACCCCAGCTCCATGACTATCTCTGCTAGTTATTGTTTCTCTCTTCTCTATTTCTTGTTCAGCACTTAGTCCAATCCCGTAATAACTATCTGCTGCTCGTGGAGGTGTTGGTGGCATCTTATGTATTTTCTCTCATATGTATGCTACGTTAGATCACCCGTTGAATCAATCAACTAAAAACTACGACAGCAATGGACGTTGTTAATTCAATAATTTTCCAATTCTTCTGTTATATTACTATGTTATCAATCAATAAATCGACAGAAAAAACAAGACGTAAAGAAAAATACAAGCGGGGAAAGAAAATTTTCAAGTTTTTTTTAGCCTGTATGACTGTGTTCTTTTTTGCGTAATATCATGGTGAAAATTTATTCAGAGAAAAAAAGAATTCGAAGCACGATCCGAACCTCGAGCACGCGCACAGTAATAATTAGATTATTAATACTATCGCTAAATAATTTGATTCTTTAGTCGGTACACAATTTTACACAATTTACAAATTCAGAATGGTAAATGTTGTCGATATTCCGAAGGATTGAAAATCCGTGTTCAGATTTTTCTTTTAAAAAATATTGCCACATGTTCACGCGTGGTCTTTAATTAAAATTAAAATTGGACATGAGCCATTTTAAGTTAATCGCAATAAATTTTCTCAGATTTACAGTAGTACATGTATTCAAATAATATCACCCGAATTGGTAAAGTTTTTTTTATTTTTCGATGGAAAAATTGAAAAGCGATCACTCATGTTCTTCTAGTTGCGTTTTTCTTCTCGTTCTTCACAAAGATTTGAAAAGCTAATAACATTATTTTCGCAATTGTGTAGTGTAGTGTAGTGTGTATATGTCCAATTTTGTGTGGTCTCTTTTGCTTTTCTGCTAATTTCTTTTTGGATTTTTTCCTTTATTTCTCTATTTATATGAAAACAAATAGATCAAACAGATTCTTCTAACTTATCCCTATAATTTTTCTTTTACTTACCGTTTACATTCTAATTTAACTTAATTTATCAGACGTTGACGTCTTTTTCTTGGCGATATTAGAATTGTGTTATTCGTGTTCAAAATAGCAATTATCAATATAGAGAATAATAAAAGAAATAATAGACAAGAAAAGCACCACACAAAAGACAGAAGACATTACTACTACACATTACAATAGCGAGAAACGATAATTGCTATTCTTATAGCATCACAGATTATTTAAACTTATTGCAACAACATGGATTTACCAAGCAATCAATATTACACTAATAATCTCCCATTAACATCATTTCAATCACAGTCGTCAACAACAACACCACCACCACGTCAAACAAGTAATGGAACATACAACAGTTACAGCGGAGAATCCACAGAAACACTGAACACTAAAAGATCGAATAATTTCATATATGCAACGACACAATTAAGACAAGAAGAAGAGTTGAAGAGAGAAAAAAAGGAATCGTTGCAGATTTTGTCTATGAGTCCTGATACGTCCTTTGGTTGTAGAGGTAATTTTAGGCAGCAAATGAGGACAATGTTGAGACACCATTTCATTCTTCAGGTAATTATCAATTTTATTTTTAAAATGCAATTTACAATTTATCACATATTAATCGATATTGTTGCAATCTCCACAGAAGCGTTACTTTCGCTCCATTTTCGCTTTTGTAATACTCGCTCCAATCATCGTGTTGCTCATAATGCTCGGAATTCAACGATCATTCGATTACGATACGAAACTTGACGCAGTATTTCGTTATCAAAATTTAAGCCTTGATGAGTTGCGTACTAGTAATCTGTTTGTTTTGAACGGCGAGACACCAACTTGGGATTTACCAGGATTATATCAATGCGTGGTAAGAATCAATTGTATATGCTAAATTATTCGATTGCCATGAAATTGTTACTAGTTATTTTTTTGTTATTTAGCCACCACGAGCGGAGAAAACAAAATGTATTACATTATTATATGCGCCAAATGATCAAACAACATCCAATATCATGAATGAATTTGTTAAAAAAAATAGCGATCGAACAGGCGAAACTTTAACCTTGAGCAATGATTCATTGTCTGATCTAAGTAAGTAATAGAAAATTGAAATTACGTATGTTTATAATATCGCCTCAATAAATTAATATATCTTTTAAAGACGAACCATCGAGTAATCTCGGGATTGTGCCAACAGCAAGCAGCGAATTCATCTACAACTACACACTCCGAAATCCCAAAGTTGCGCAATACGCTGTCTCATTCCATTATCCAACCCCAACTCAAATAGAATACACAATCTGGTACAACTTTACCACAACCGCAAATTTCAGCGTTTATGGTGATTCGTATGACAATAGCAATAACTTCGGTTTCGGAATGAAATTAAACAACCACGATCCAATCACGATTGAGACTCTAAAAGTTGATCAATACGGAAACGAGTTGTTGACAATTATGCGTGGAATCGACGAGGCTATTTTCGCAGCTCAGGCTGGTGCTTCGAATGCTAAAATCGATATAAAACTAAAAGAGTTTCCAAATATGCTTATTCGGACTACTACCCCGCCGAAAAATCCTAATAATAAGATTAATGGAGATGTATTCCAAAATAACGGAATGATTTTGGCGTTGCCTGCTCTGCTTGTTTTCGCAATTGTTGGTGTGTTAGAAGTTGTTACCGAGAAAGAGCTTGGGCAAAGAGGGTGGATGGAAATGATGTAAATCTTTTTTGTAAATTTTACGATTTATCTAGTCATCTCTATATTGACTTTAATTTCTATCTATTAGGGGTCTTCGCGTAAGTGTTTACTGGATTGCACGTTATATCAGTGCTTCTTATATCGCATTTTTTCAAGCTTTGACATTGTGCAGTGTGGGCTGGATTTTTGAATTCCCGTATTTTCGAAATACTAATTTCATGGTAAATTTGTTTATTCAAATCGAGAGAAATTAAATAATTTTCGAATGATTTATTATTTTACTGATGTAATTTTTTTTTACTAGGTAAATCTAATCATGTTTACTCTCTATGCATGGGCAATGCTCTCATTGGGTTACTTTCTCTCGACAATATGTAACCGCTATCGTACAGCTGATATCCTTCTATTCTTCTATGATATTTACTTGCTTTATATATATAAAATTGGGAAATTTAATGAAATTCCTTAACTTTATTATTATTTGACTGATTTTTTTTTTACTTGGCTTAGCATTCGTGTTCTCGTTAATCACATTCATATATCAATCAATCGCAGCGAGTTACTGGGCAGTATGGTACGAAAAGTCGCAAAAATTCTCGCTTGGAATTGTTATTGGAACATTTTTGCCGTTTTTCCAATTTTCTGGTAAATATAATTTCGTAATATCAACTCATTATTGAGTGAACAAGTTATTTCATTCATTTTTATCTAAAAGAACTATACAGCCAAATTGCTGCAAAATCAACCGACGTTGCAAGCGATCTATTCGATCTATCAGCAACTGACGCCACACCTACGAAATCATTCAACTGGGATTCTCTGGCCGAATATGCATTGGTTGATGGACTAGGGAACAAGATTAGCGTCGATGATCTTAATGCATTTCCGAAGCCGTATCGCGCGTTAATAATTCTCGCGTTCCAGATTGTGTTTTATGCAATGCTGGTGTGGATTGTAGATCAGGGTCCGATTCTGTTGATGAAATTTCGGTTAACAGATAGTATTGTGAATGATCTTGGTGATGATAACGGCAGCGAGGTACGTTCATGAAACAATTAAGTTTTTAAACGCGTCTTTAATTTTTAAATTTTTTTATGCAACAGAAAAGAGATTCACTTGACGAAATGGACTCAGATCTTTTGGGAGAACGAGATCGTGCTAAAGATATGAATAGACGATGTAAATATTATATGTTCCATTTGATTTATTGATCTTTAATAATAATAATAAATTAAAATTTTACCTTATTACAAAGTTGGACTACGAATAGTAAGACTTGTGAAGGAATTTAAAGGAAAATTTCTATACGAATCAAAAGAACGAAAGATCGCAGTTAACGGATTGTATTTAACTATTGAGGAAGGACAGTTGTAAGTGCATCCCTCAAAATGGAAGTTACAACATACATGTATCATTAAAATTTTCAATTACAACCTTTACAGATTCGCGCTCTTAGGGAAAAACGGCGCTGGGAAAACAACCACAATCTCAATGCTCGCTGGTCTCCTAAAACCCACGTCTGGCTCGGCATTCATCTACGGCAAAAACATTCTCACGGATATGACATTAATTCGTACATCGATGGGCATTTGTCCGCAGCACGATATCTTGTTTAACGACTTGACGTGCCGCGAACACATTGAATTATTCTCGGGAATCAAAGGGATGGTGTGCACTGATGCCTCAATAAAAAAATTGTTGGCCAAAGTCGATTTGGTGAATGCTAAAAACTTGTTGACGCGCAAGTTGAGCGGTGGGATGAAACGACGGTTGAGTGTTATTATTGCGTCGATTGGGGATCCAAAATGTAATTTTTTTTGTGTTTTCTATCACAAATTTATTTTTTTTATCAAATTCATTCATTATGCTTTTGAACTTGTACATTTTTTATATATATATAGTTATGGTTTTAGATGAGCCGACGACTGGCATGGACCCTTTGAATAGACGGAAAGTCTGGTCATTCTTATCTGAATACAAAAAGGATCGAATCATGTAAGTCTTTAGCCATTTTTTAGATCAAATTTAACATTATTAATTTATCATTGAAAAATCATTCAGACTGCTGACTACACATTCGATGGAAGAGGCGGATTTACTTGGAGATCGAATTGCTATTATGAGCAAAGGCAAAATACGGTGAGAATAATTTTCGAATAATAAATTTTAATTGCTATTATTTTATTTAATCTCGTTTTTTAAACATAAATGAAATAATAATAACAGGGCAATTGGAAATTCAACACATTTAAAGACAAAGGTGAAGAATCTGTTTATTATATCACATGTAAAATACTTTAAGCCGATTTAAAATTTTTTTATTATAATAATAAAACAGCATGGAAACGGTTACACGATCCAAATACAAACTGATCAAAAAAATATTGTCAACACACAAATCCGAATCGCAAGACTAGTCCCGCTCGCAAGACTTAAGGACGAAAGTGCTAGCTCATTAATCTACCAGATTCCGCCCGAGGCTTTATCCGAGATTTCAAGTTTGGTTGATTGGCTGGAAGAGAATCCGGATGGTGTGATTAGCGGGTGGGGAATTATGAATACAACATTGGAGGACGTGTTTCTTAATGTTTCGAGAGCTTGTGACAGTACGGATGATGACAATAATAGGGATGTCGAGATTGGAAGATTGATGGGACGAAGTCCGAGTGTTTTTTCACACTTCTCGATTTCGTCTTCTTTATTTGGGTCAAAACATTATCAATGGCCGTATGGTGTACCTAATTCGCTGACGGATAATAATGAAGAAAGGGATAGCATTATAATGTCACGACACTTATCGACTTCCTCTAGATCTATACTACAACGAAAAACACCTCGATCGAGCACCGCTAGTTTCTCTGGTTTTTCTGATATCACTGCTTTACAAAAAAGTGGCTCATTTAACGACAACATATCAGAACGACAATCGCCATCACAAAAATATCAAAATCGCAATAGTTATAGCAGCCGGACATTATCCCGATTATCGAACGTTATTCCAATCGAACTACAGCAAGATAATAAAGAAAACGACAAAAAAATCTCTGAAGATAAAGGTGAGAATACTTTATCCTCATTTGTTTCTCATCGCCAGTTTGCTATTGACGAACGAAGGAGAACCGACATAATCTATTATGAGCCAAGAAATACGCAAGATTTCACCCATTTCAATAATTGGCTGCCATCACAAATGCGACATGCTGTTTCCAAGCAACAGATATTAGAGAAACTGGCGAAACTAAAGGAAAGTCGCGAGGACAGTATTGAGAATGAAGAAATAAACAAAAAAGATGAACAAAAAGGACACAAAAGTGATGTTAAGGGCAAAAAGCGAATTGAAACTGTTATAGAGAATAATAATGACAATAATAACATATCAAATAATATATTACCGAAATCTGAATTGGAACAAATTGGTCCAAATGAACAACGCGAAATAAACAAGACGACTGAGGAGTTCAGTAGTAATATCGATAGTAGAACAAATAACAATATTACCTCGAAATCTTTAACTGATGAACAATTTGTCGGACGACAACATTTTTCGTCTCCATCATCATCCAGAACTTCGACACCACATCATGAATCTAGCGGAATATCAACACTTGCATCTCAACAACAAAATTCGTCACAAAGTTTACGACTTGAAAGAGAAGACAAAAATAGCGACAATAGCGAAGAAGTAAGACTGAACATTACGTCGGAAGAAAGTGTAGATTTTGAAGAAGAAATCTCGTCTTTTTCGTCAGGCGATAAAACCCCTACGCAGTTTCTAAGCACTAATGCAACAAATGAAAGTTTAACTTATAATGATAATGCTAGTAATCATAACAGTATAATCGGAGATAGTAATCGAATGTCGTTTGAACCTCATGCATTATAGCTACACGTTGAATGAACAATTTTAATTTGTTATTAACGATATTGATATAATCGCCTTGCGGTTAAAATAAAGTATATACTGATGATAATAGTGCTCAATGGAATAATTAAATGCAAATTTATGACCAGTTATTCAAATTTTAGTCATTTTTATTAGAATTCCTAAATTTCAGGCTCATAATATATCTTTTTCATAGAAATTCGTACACTAGAAATGATGTAATTCCCATTTGAATAAAAGTGATGACTTTTGTGTTTCTAACTTTAATATTTTAAGAGAATTTACAACCTTGATGCCCCTGTTGGTATGTGAGGGTGGGCTTATTAACAATTTCATATATTTACTTGACTAAAATATGCTAAGATACTATGATAATTTCAGGTGAGGTACAGTATGGGACAAAAAATCTTGCACTCGGTAAAATTACAACAACTTTACAATGAGCAAATGAATTGGGACTCAAAATACCTCATTTAAAACTGTAAAACGCACAGATTTTATTTATAAAAATTAAAACGGAATTCGTTCACCATTGCTTTCAATAATCGCCTCACAACGTCTTTTCATCGAGTTTACCAAATTTTTTACAATTGAATTCGTTGCAAGATTTTCAAAATTTATATTGCCAATCATGAAATTATGAACTAGTCAAAAAATTTATTTTTTAAAATCTGTTTCTTTGATGACAACGTAAGATTTCCGGTCCTCAAAAAAAATTAGCATGTGAAGAATAGAGGTTAATTAATATAAAGATTTTGCTTTTTGGAAACTTTGATCAATGAATAAAATACTGTTGCCGTCAACGAAAAATCCCATGCTTACGAAATTCTGGAACGATGCATGACGATCTTATTGCATGTACCATTATTCCGATAAATTCTTTAATGCCCGAAGACATAACGTGATCTACCGACTGCATTTGTCAGATCATACATTTTTCAGCAGTTTTTCAGCAACTTGTTTCTCAGCGTAACATTTCATTTTTTTAGCACAATGATTACCAATCGCGTAATTCTCCAGTATTTTTTCAGCATGATCGCCCGCAGTTTTCAGCACTATCGTTTGCTTTATGCAATTCGTATTCTGGTATCGAACCCATGTCCATCCTATACATGTATACCGTACCCTCTTCTTACACGGTACACCCAGTTACGATTCAAAAGAAAAATGTGAGCAGAATGTACTATATCTTACATGGAAAAGACAGTACATATACGTTGATAAATATAAATTTATATTGACATAATTCGTGAGCAGAAATACAGTAGTATAGCGTTAGGTATATAAAAATTTACATCGACTGCTATGCTATATGCACAACACCGTACTGATACAAGAAGCTTAAGAAATATAAAGCCTTGGATTTTGTTTTTGATTAATTCTGATATAAATCGGATCTTGCAACATCACCCTATTGATCTTTTACCCTCTCCAAAAAAACACATGATTATATACATATTGTTAATCTTTAACGTTAAATTTTTTATCAATAATTTAAAATTAATTTTCAGTGAATTAACGAATCAATTGATACATGCTTTTGTTGGGGATGACAAAATTTCCCAGCTTGAATTTGAGTGTTATCTGAAAATACCAAGTCGGGGATTAAAGAAATGTTCATCTTCAGAATTTTCATCCAGAGGCCGCACTTGAAAGGTTCTTCCATTCGCAATAATTTGCATGAGCGATAATTTTCAAAATAAATAATCGCCCTCGCTGCTGCAAAATATTTAGTCTCAAAGAAGCTGTATGTGAAATCTTGGTTTATTTAACAATTTATGTATAGCTTCTTTGGAGCTGAATATCTTAAGACTCAATGATGGGATTGAGTGTAAGACATGCCATTCAATTCCCTAGGTTCTGAAGATTTTGTACTCGATTTCCTGCCATTGGGTTTCGAGATATTGAGACTTAAAGAGATCATTACTCATATCTTGTAATTTGATTGGCTTACAGAAAGATGAGATGTACAAAAATAAATAGTTATAGCTTAATATCATAGTGCCACATCATCATAGTACAGGCCGTAATGCTGATTTATCATCCCGATCATTTAATTGGCGACCAAGAATCCCACAATTTTGTAAGTTTGATCTATTTTACGTATTTATATATCAAAAAGGGAATAACAGAATTAACATTCCTGACACAGCAGTGCTTGGGTGAAGTGTGTTCAGTGATCAGCGTGTAGGCTATACATATGCAATTGATGATCATGTTGTTTCAGTGGGTTAGCTTACTATGGGTATAGTTTGTTATATCAACGATCAGCGTGTATGGTTGCATATGTATAGTTGACGATCGCGTTGTTTCCACACCCGTGTAGCTTACCTGCATGTGCAGCGGTTTGCACAGTTCATTCCTTCATCCTTGAGAGTCTCTGTCATTTTGTCGACCCGTTCAACTCTCGATTATTTATCATTCACGAAGAAACAGAAAAAACATACAGTATGTTCTTTATTCCTTAATAAACAAGTAAAATATTTTTAATTTTTTGCCTAACATCTGGAAAACCTATCTCGAATCTCCGCTAATTTGACTGTGATCAAAATATTTTGTATAAATCCAGTATTGAGTCGAAAATATAGTGTTATAAGATCAATGACAAAATTTCACTGTGAGTAAAGGCTTTTTGAAAAGTTTTAGTTTCTTTAATACTTTCTATTATCTTTCTAACTTGATTCATGGATATGTTTTACTCCTATTTCTTTAGCGCTTTGCGCGGCTGTTGACGTGACTAGACTGTTTGTACTAATATCTTTCAATGTTACCTTTACTATTACATACATATAAATGGTTTATATGTACGTGTTCGTAGTTATTAAAACCAAAAGCGCATACGTACTACCGTAAATTGTTTTACGTGTAATATAAGTTTGGAATATAAAACCAAAAATAAGGAAGGAATAATTAAAGATGAAAAAAGCGTTCGAGTGAGAATAGAAAGCAGCAGAGTCTTGACATTCTAACGCATAATATAATCTTATGAAAATAGAAGAGAAAAAAACTAAAGATGAATTATTAGACCAAGCAAAATCAGTATACATCATCATTAATGATACCTAACGAAACTATTTTCATGATGACGAATAGTTTCGTCACATTATTCGTCCGATGGAACCGATTGACGAAACTGGCGAAACCTGTAATGATTTGACAGAATCTATAGACTAAAGACTACAATTATTATATGGTATTCGATTACCGAAACGCAGCAGCTCACAAAAAAATGACAACTATGCTAGACTTTAAACACTCAGACCATGGGAAAGCAAGTACTATCAAATTTTGTGGAGTCTTATATGAGTCCAGAGGTGCTAAATGGAAAACACTAACGCTGCATGTCTTTATATAACTTTGAAATGGTAATGTACGAGATTGTAACGAGGTGAACGACCATTTGTAAACGAAGTCAGTAATCTTAGAGGAATTACTCTAGGCGGGGGTGGTTTATGCCATGAATTACAGTACAGACCGGGTCCCTTACATTTTTTAGCACTCGTATCTATGATAGAATTATGGTGTCGATAAGTCCTTTCATGGAACTAAAATTGCATTTAAGGAAGTCTGACTACACTTGAAGGATTACCGACACCAGCACAGTCCCATTCCGAGCCAAAAAAGTCTCATCAGAGGAGCAGTCTTATCTTGAGCCAAAGCA